GATCGAGGATTGAGGTTTTGGAGTGTCTGTGCCACTTTGTGGAGGGCGCGCGCCGACGCGCGACAAGATTCGCGCGTCGGCGCGCGCTCTCCGCAGCCGCCTATGCCAAGCGGGACTGCGGGACCTCTGTGTCCTCGATGTCTGGAGCGGACGGGGCCTGCGACGCCGCGAAGGGACCAGCGGACCTGGGGCCGCGCCGGCCAGCGAGAAGAGAGGTTCAGGATGTGAATGTTGTGGTGGATGTCGCGGCCGCCGCGGTCCTGCGGGCGAGCGCGCAACCTGAGGGCCTGTCCCTCGGGGTGGGGGATTCGGGCGCACGCGGCTGTCTGCACGGCTGTGCCATCGCCACCCAAGGCACGGGCCTCCCGCACGCACGGCGGAAACCCCCCAAGCGGCTCCCATTCCCGCTGTCTGTGGGTGCCTTTCTCCCGCTTGGCGTGGGATGGTGCCAGTCAGGGGGACGGGGGTCGCTTTTGTGGGGGGATTCCTGTGTGCAGGGGGATAGGCTCCTATGCCTTCCACTCTGGCGAGACTGGCATCGCCGCCGCTCGGCCACACCGTTCGCCGCTGACCAGCCTGCCTTGTGCCTCTCCACCTCTGCGCAATTGCATCGCTGAACCAGTTTCGCAAATTAGCCGGGTTCCTCTCTCCGTGTTTCACGCTGCACTCGACGGGGCCAGTGCACAGCTACCTCGGCCGTACCTCTCAGTCACATTATAGAGCAGGTGACCGTGCTTCACATCTAACGGTGCTTCTGCATTGTTTACGTCGCAACCGACGCGGCGAGTGCAAGTCCACCTCGGCTCGCACCTTTCAGCCACATTCGAACAGGTGACCGTGCGTGACCTGTCATCTTCCACTCTGCGTCTGACGCTGCCGCCGCAGGCACACTCAAAGGTTTCGCCTGCCTGCCACAACATGGGAGTGGCGGTCGGCGAGGTTCATGTGGTGAATCATCCCACTCGAAAGAAAACCGAGCCACCGCCACGAAAGACATACCCCCCCCGAGCACCGTGGACCCCCCCCAAGCGGCCATCAGCCCCGCGGTCTGGGTACCCTACTCCTGCTTGGCAGGGGAGCGTGCCAGCCGCTGGGGTGATGGACGCTTCGGGGGGATTCCTCCTATGTGCAGAGGGAGCGGCCCATATGCGTTCCACCTTGGCGAAAGTGGCCGCGCCACCCTCTGCCCACACTGCGCCGGTGCCGCATCGTTTCCCTTCCTCCTGCCCTGCGTTCAAGTTTTTTGTTAGTTTTTTGTGTGTTTCTCTCCCTCTCTCTCTATTTCCCTTCCTCCCTTCTCCCGTCGCTTTCGCTCGCCCTTGCCTGTTATCTTTTCTTGCGCCAGCTGGAGTGCTGCTCCAGGTGGCGCCGGGTTTAGTTTGATCAGCCCCCCCCGCGCCGACACGCCCTGTGGGGGGGGGAGGCGCCGTCAGACGACACTGCAGTCATCGCGTGTTAGGTGCCAGGAGGCGGAGGGTGAGGTGAGGAGGAGGACAAGGAGGCGGAGGAAAACGAACAATAATAACAAGAAAACCAATAAACACCATCCTAATAAGAATAATACGAAGACTACGAAGCATAGCAATAAGAAACATATTCGCAAACATAGTAGCACTACTCATAGTACGAGCAAGAATAATCATACGAATCAAGCTGAGAATGAGAAGACTGATAATACTACACTGAGACTCGCAATATAAATAATAATAGACATGTGGGGAATATTATGAAAACAGTGACAATATTAGTTAATCAGAATGAGACGAATATAACATTTGAATATCAGTAAGAAAAACGAAACATCGTATTAAACTGAAGAATAACATTAGTACGGATAAGAGTTTAAGGCAGAATAAGAAACACAATGATAATAGTATTAATAATGATACGAAGAAGGACAACGCTAATCATGATAAGCTCAAGACGAATATTAGTAACAACGAAGAAGTATACGAATAATAATCATAGTAGCAATTTGAATAAGATGGCTAAGAATATTAAGAAGTCGTAGGGTACTACGAACATTAATGATAACCATAAGCGTATTCGTAAGAATAATACGAATACGAATAGTAATACACATACCGAGAATAATATCAGTAATAAGCATGAATGAAGTAATACTAATGCTACGAGTAGTAATCATAGGAATAGAAATGCGACTTTTGTCAATAATAACAACCGTAAGAGTAACCATAATAATTATATCCATGATCGTCACACTGATTATAATGAGAATAGTATAACATTCATACGATCAAGAACGCTCATCAGAACATTAATTATAATTAGAATAACAATGAAACTCATAGTGATAATTAGATTATAAGAATAAGGGTGGGGGAGGTATGGTGATAATTTTGATATAATGACACGACTAACCATACTAATGCGAGTTTGCAAGAAGAAAAATAAACATATAATCAGGAGAAAACGAATGATACTTGTTATTAAGGGCTAAAAAGAAGGCCCCTACCCTGGTTTACGAGGCGCTGTGCGC